TAGTGGACAGAGCGTTGACCCTCCAACTGGAGGGTTGCAGGTTTGATTCTGGTCAAGGGCACATACCTTGGTTGCAGGCTCCATCTCTGGCCCGGGTCAGGCATGTGCAGGAGGCAACCAATCAATGTGTCTTTCTCACATTGATCTTTCTCTTTCACTGTCTCTCCCCTTCCCTTCCACTCTAAAAAATCAATGGGAAAATATCCTCAGGTGAGGATTAACAAAAAATTAAAAAAAAAAAAAGTAGCAAGATGCCATGCAAGATTTTTTTTTTTTAAAAAAGGAACTTCTTTAAGAAGGGGAAAAAAGATAAAAATATGAATAATAAAATGGCAACAACTACATATCTATCAACAATTACTTTATTTTTTTAATATATTTTATTGATTTTTTACAGAGAGGAAGGGAGAGGGATAGAGAGTTAGAAACATCGATGAGAGAGAAACATCGATCAGCTGCCTCCTGCACACCCCCTACCGGGGATGCACCCGCAATCAAGGTGCATGCCCTTGACCGGAACCGAACTTGGGACCCTTCAGTCCGCAGGCGGATGCTCTATCCACTGAGCCAAACCAGTTAGGGCTATCAACAATTACTTTAAATGTAAATGGATTAAATGCTCCAATCAAAAGAAATCATATGGCTGAAAGGAGAGCAAAACAAGACCCTTATATGCTATCTATAAGAGACTCACTTCAGATTGAAATACATATGCAGACTGAAAGTAAAGGGATGGAAAAAGATAGTTCATGAAAATGGAAATGAAAAAAAAAAGGCTGGGCTAGCAATACTTATACCAGACAAAATATATATATATATTTTTTAATCCTCACCTGAGGATATTTTTCCATTGATTTTTAGAGAGTAGAAGGCAGGGGGAGAGATACTGAGAGAGAAACATTGATGTAACATAGACACATCAATTGGTTGCCTCCTGCAAGCGGCCCTGGGGGCCGGGATGGAGCCTACAACCAAGGTACATGCCCTTGAGTGGAATTGAACCCAGGACCTTTTAGTCTGCAGGCCGACTGACACTCTATCCACTGAGCCAAACTGGTGAGGGCCCAGACAAAATATATTTTAAAACAAAGGCTACAATAAGAGATAAAGATGGACCCAGCAATTCCACTTCTGGGTATTTATCCGAAGAAACTCAAAACATTAAATTGAAAAGACAGAGTGTGGGGGCAAAAGTAGGTTTACAGTTGTGAATAGGTGAAACAAAGTTTATTCTTGCATTACTATTTATTAACTACTAGAGGCCCAGTGCACAAAATTCTTGCACTGGGGAGGAGTGGTCCCTCAGCCCAGCCTGCGCCCTCTCACAGTCCTGGACCCCTCACTCCTTACCACCCGCCTGCTCACTGCTCCTTAGCGCTGCCGCAGAGGCAGGAGGGGCTCCCACCACCCGCACTGCGCTCGCCAGTCATGAGCCTGGCTTCTGGCTGTGCAGCACTCCCCCTGTGGAAGTGCACTGATCACCAGGGGGCAGCCTCTGCATTGAGCACCTGCCTCAGTGCACATCATAGCCATCAGTCGTTTTGGTCGTTCTGCCATAATGGTCGCTTAGGCTTTTATTATACAGATTGTATTATTTTCCACATGAACAACTGTAAATCTACTCCTGCCCCACCCTGTATACATCCATATGTTCACTGCAGCATTATTTATAAGATATAGAAGCAACCTAAGTATCCATCAATATATGAATGAGGATGTGGTACATATGAACAATGGAAAATGACTCAGCTATTAAAAAAGAATGGAATCTTGCCATCTGCAACAGCATGGATGGGCCTAGAGGGCATTGTGCTGAGTGAAATAAGACAGAGAAAGACAAATGCCATATGATTTCACTTATATGTGGAATCTAAAAAACACAATAAATGAACAAGCAGGACAGAAACAGACTCATAGATACAAAGAACATTTTTATAGTTGCCAGATGAGAGGGGGAAGGGATTATGGGTGAAAAGGTGAAGGGATTAAGAACAAATTGGTAGTCCTGGGAATGTAAATTACAAATGAGGAATATCTATATATATAAAAGCCTAAGTGACCGAACGACCGGTTGCTACAATGCGCACTGACCACTAGGGGGCAGACGCTCAATGCAGGGGCTGCCCCGTGGTGGTCAGTGCGCTCCCACAGTGGGAGTGCCGCTCAGCTGACCAACCCATCCCAATGGCCACCAGTCCGAGGGCAGCCACTCACTCCCTCAGTAGTCCTGCAGGTCCAACCTCTGGAGAACGGGCCAGGCACTGATGGACCGGCACTGTCGGCAATATCCTGACAGGGCCACTGGCCTCCTGTAAGTCAGCCTCGGACATCACAGCCGCTCCCCCTCCCTAGACAATCCGCAAGGAAAAAAATATATAAAAGCAGCCACCAGGTGGCTCCCGACAACTGGCCGAACGTCAGCAGGACAGATCCACATCCTGGGCGGCAAGGGTGTCCCACTGCCAGCCCAGAGGGCTAATCGTATCCCGGCCTCCTGCCACCCCTTTGGGATGGGCGCCAGATGCAGGGCTCATGGTTGGCAAGTGCTGCTGCGGCAGCGCGAGCATCTCCCGATCAGGACTGACTGGGTGTGAGCCCCTGGCAGGCACAGAGGGGCTGGGATGAGTGGGACTGGCAGGTAGCACTGGACTGCCAGTTTCAGCCCAATCCCCACAGACCACGTTAAGGGACCCCACCCGTGAACGAATTCGTGCACAAGGCCTCTAATAGTCAGTAATATAAGTTATGTATGGTATTCAGATTAGCACTAGATTTAATGGGGTGATCACTTCTTATGTAAATGTCTAATCACTGGTAGTACATCTGAAACTAATATAATATTGAATGTCCACTCTAATTGAAAAATAAAGAAATATTTTAAAATATTCATGTTAATAAACATTCTTCAGAAACTCAGGGAGTTTTCTAAATTTTTTTAACAAACTGATTGAACTTCTTTGACTACAGGGTCTGCTGGAGAAAGGCAATGAAAGTGCCTTTAAAAAAAGTAAAAATGGCCCTGACTGGTTTGGCTCAATGGATAGAGCATCAACCTGCGGACTAAAGGATCCCTGGGTTCGATTCCAGTCAAGGGCACATGCCCAGTTGCGGGCTTGATTCCGAGTAAGGGGGCCTGAAGGAGCAGCCGATTGGTGATTCTCTCTGATCATTGATGTTTCTCTCTCTCTCCCTTATCTCTGAAATCAATAAAAATGTATTTTTTTAAAAAAGTAAAAATGTATTCTTTAGCCAGTGTAATTGGGTCTTCTTGTTTACAAAATTATCTTCTAAAATATGCTTTGAAATTTTTCTGATTTTGAAAAATGGAGTCTCATTTGATGCCTCTAAAACTGGAGATTTAGACTTCAAATGGCTCCAAAGAACTGAAATCTTGATGGCAAGCATTTTTTAGCATATGTGCAATGGCCAGAACCAGGCATGGATTACCTTTTTGTAGGCACTCAAGGGCTTTTGGAATGGAAGATCTTATGTTTAGGAATGTAGGGGGAAAAACACACACAAACAAGTGGAAATTGGCAGTGTTTTGTAAACAAGGGGATATGATGAATAAAACTGGCAATACAGGGTTTAAATAAAGCGACAGGAGTCTCAGCACATTTTGGAAATTCCTATCTTGAATCGTGTATGTGGGTATAAATATGAAGCTAAGTCTCTGGTTTTCACTCCTTCCCAGTCTAAAATCTTACTATCAGATGTTCAAGTTCATTGTAATTTGGCATCTTATCTAAAATGACCTCCCCAATTGCGGGCACATCCCCAGTAGGAGATGTGCAGGAGGCAGCTGATTGATGTTTCTAGCTCTCTATCCCTCTCCCTTCCTCTCTGTAAAAAGTCAATAAAATATATTCAAAAAAATAAAATAAAAAAAATAAAATGACCTCCCCAAATATGTAATAATAATAATATCCAAACCCACCGATTGACTCTAACATCACATAGAGAATTCCAGGAAGAAGTAAGGGTTGAAAGTCTAAAATTGGGAGTCATTAACAAACAGGTATTTCAAGTTGTGAGTCTGGATGAAAATAAACATGGGAATCAGTGTTTAGGCATAGTATGATTTGGCTTACTTCCCAAACAAGCAATATTCTATTTTCTTGTGCCTTCACCAGGCTTTACTTTGCGTAAAATGATCATCCCATTGTTCAATAACTAGACCTAATTATAACATTTCCTCGATTCTGACTTGTGTTTTTTATTTTTGTAAGAGAACATTTATTGGGTAAATTAGAGGTAGAAAAAGTAATTCCTCGAAGAAATGGGCCTAGGAAACAAGTTATGGAAGTAAAGGAAGAGTCCCTGGAGCTTGGGAGTGAGGAAGCTAAAGGTAAGCGGGGAAGGGAGGAGGAGGGTGCGGTGGAAAGGAAGGGAAAGGCACCACGTGCTCCGGGGAGGGAGAGCGCTAACTTGTGCTTTATAATATTAGTTACTAGTTTTGCTAACAGTTTAAAATCAAAGTCTTTTTCCCTTTTCTCTCCCCTCCCCCACCATAAAAAATTTTCTTAAACCAACCGTCCATATTACAATTGAAAAAATAAATTCACTAACTACAGGTGATTTTGCTTGCAGGGTGAAACTTTCAGTTCTGCAGCCTAAAACTTCCCTTATAAAGTGCTTTTTCGGGTAGCACGCTACTGGTTGTCACAAGTTTGTGGGTGTAATAGGGGAGTGGGGGTGAAGGCTACCTGCCTCCTCTTTCTCCTTCAGAAAAAGGGTTAGGCACAAGGAGCCTCTAGTGGCGTGTCTGAAGTCTGCAGCGCAATCACAAACAACCCAGAGCCTGCACTTAATCTTCGTGCACCTGATCCCAAACCGGGCTCTCAACCTGCCACGATCTGAGATGTGCCCTCTTCCACCTGACCCGTAGCAGAGTTAGAGACCCCCCCATGAGTGGCTCTGGCCTCACCCCAAGTCCCCAAAGTCAGTCCCCAGAGCATATCCTTGCCCAACCGCCTGCCTCTCTGGCTCTGATCGCTTACGGGAAGTTCGCATCCACTCGAGCAGCGCTGGGCGGTCGGCCGGAGCCACGGTACCAAGTAGTTGCAGTATTGTTTGCCGCGCGGCGCTTAATTCCATGTTGCAGCAGAAAACAGCGCTGGGAAGGTGCGCATCGCGCACGCGCACGCGCAAGCGGAGTCCGATAGCGACAACTGACCCGCCTCCCCAGGCTGCGGACGCCCTAAGCCCCGCCCCCTCCTCTGAGTTCTCCAGAGCGGGAGGAATTCCTACACTTCAGCGCACCCTCAGCTCTCACCATTCCCCTTCAATAGCATTGCTCAGCTTAGTCACTTTTTCTTAAGGCGGCTCCCCGAGGCCGGACTTCTTTCCTGAGGTCGCCTCCTATTTTAACAACTTTGCTGCCGCAGTTGATGAGCGATAGAAAACGAAAGTCTAAAGTCAGTGGCAGTAAAGGAACATCTCAATATACCCCTTCCACGCAGTGAAGGAACGCGGCGAGTGCCCCGGAAGCGGAAGTGCATCCTGGTCTTGAAAGGCTGGACTACAGCGAGTGGTGACGTTTCCTCATTGGGCGGAAGGTTCGGTGGCAGTCGTCGGACTTCCAGCTGGTGGGAGTTGGCGTCGCAGTGCTGGGCTCTGGGGCTCGCGTTTGTGTAGTTTGGAAAGTCGGTCCGTGGCGTCGTCCCTACCTGTCTGATCCCGGCTTTCTTCTGATCAATCCCACGGCGGGGGGCCTCGCGAAGGAATCCCCGGCCCCTTTGGGCCACGGCCGTAGAGGTGCCTTCAGAGGTAAGTGTCTGCTTTTTCCCGTCCCAGACTGGCAGCTGGCGGCAGCCCCGACCCTGCTTGGGGGGCGGGAGACTCCGGAGAGAGTCCACTTGCCTGGCCACCTGCTGTCATCACCGGTGCCGAGGTGCTTTGGCCCCTTTTCACCTCGTTCCGCCCATCAGAAGTTTTATTAAGAGATAAGCTGTGACCCTTTTCAGTTGACTTCGGATCTACTCGAGCCAAATTACCTGTGTAGGCAATTGCAGGCCTGACTCTCTGATTTGCTCTCCTGATCAAGAATTTAGTTATGACTGCTTCCCCGACAGTCTTTTCACGTGTCCCAAATTTTATATTTTCATGTTCGCTGTGCTTAACACATTGTCCTGCATGTAGCAGGCGTTCAGTAAGTGAGTAAGGAATATCAGTTCAATGTCAGCGATGACTTCCGATGAGCTGATGGCTCTCCGTAGCATTTAACACTATTACCCATCCGTTTCTTGAAACTGTGTCTCCTGTTGGCTTTCTTGATGCTATTCTCACCCACTTTTTTTCATATGCTTAATTCAACAAAACAGTTACCCGTTGTTAGCTATAGGGATACAGAAATGAATGACACAAACCCTATCATTGAAGAGCTAGCAGTGTAATAAAAGAGAAGCATGTAAATGTATCCTATATCCAGATGAGCAATGAGAAAGTCTGGAAAGATATGAGCCAGGAGAGCTGAGGGAATACAGATGAGAGGTGCAGTGATTTGTGATCCTGACTGAGCAGATCCCATCTAGCCTCAGTTTCCTCATTAACTAATAAGTTTATTAAGAGGATGTTGATAGTGGAGGAGGTTATACATATGTGGGGACAAGGGGTTATATGGAAGCTCTATGTATTTTCTGCTAGGTTTGCTGCGAACCTAAAACTGCTCTAAAAGCATAGTCTGTTGATTAAAATTTCAAAAAGAAAGAAAGGAGGATTGAAAGATTAGGTAACACGTTTGGTGCAATGCCTACAACAGTCTAGCAATGGTGGTCCTGAAGGGGAGGGGAAATATTTCCCTGAAACCTCTTTCCCTTGATTTTTTGATGCGGACAGTTAGTATTTTCTGACTTAATGTAGTGCTATGCAGAAGCATCTTCAAGCCCTCCTTCCGACAGATTACTTCTCTAACTCCAGCTCTCTGGAAATTCTGGACCTGCCACTAAGTAAGATAACCATAAATAGTAGCTTTTTAATTTTTTTAAATTGATACCTTTCTGTGTGTTTTTGGGAAATGGAATTAGTAAAAGCTTCTATCCCTTTGATTATTCTCAGTCCCAATTGACTCTCTCCTTTTAGTTGGCCCTTGACTGTGGCTACAAACCAGTCTTCCACAAATTCTCCCAGAGAGTTCTCATCTATATCCATGGCGTCCGTGGCATTATTCTTGTATGCCAACCATTTCCAAATATTTTCTCTAGTTTCTATCTCTGAGTGATATAGTTCTTTAGTTCTGCAAATAGTCTAGGTCCAAACCCAAATTCCTTACCTCCACCTTCCTTTCCCCCACCCCCACTTTTTAAAAAATCATTACCTATATCTTAGATACAAAGGTGTATAAAAGCAGTGATCCCTAGTGAGTTTTTGACCCTTTGTTTCTACTTGAATTTTGTATGTTATTTGTATGTTCAGTTAAAAAAGGATAATAAAGTCAACATCTATGTATTTAATATCCAACTTAAGTAGTAATACATTGCAAATAACCTTTAATCTCCTTGAACCTTTTTTCTAGTAACTCTAACTTTCAAAACAGCTTCTTTTTTTTTCTTTTTCCTTCCATATATTGGTTAATGGCATCACTAGTCATCTGGTTTTTTAAACTGGAGACCTTACAGTCATTTTTGCCTTTTGTTTCTTCTTCATTCTCCACAACTACTTGGTTATTAGGTCCTATAGATTCTGCTTTATGAGTTGGGTCTTGACTCAGCCCCTTCACTCCATTTTACTTTCTGCTTCCTTAGTTCAAGTATGTACTCTCCTTGCTCTCAAGTTTTTCTCACTCTAATGTGTTTGCTACATTGTTTATAATTTTTAAAACAGAACAGATTTTTCATTCTCTTGTTTCCTTTGAGGAGTATTGATTCATACAGTGATCATTAACCTTGGCTGCACATCAGTATAGCCAGTGAAGTTTTTCAAAATATAGATGCCTTGTTTTGCTCTTCTAATAAAAAATTTAGATGAGACTACTTTCTAGAAACCTTCTGAAGTTACTGTTCTTGGAGATTATGATAGAGTGTTTAATTTTTAGCTGGTATTACCTAAATGTTATTGAAATAACCCATTGCCTATCCCTCCTCCTTCATATGTTCTTTTCAGCTTCAAGGCAAACTATTTCCAAGGAACTCCTTTAACTTTCCTTGCTTTAATTTTTTTTTCTTGCTAACAGTTTACATAAAGATTGTTTTAATGATTGACCTGACAGCCAGAAATAACTTAAAGAAATGATTCCCAGTGTTTTTGAGTTATTACCCTTTTTTGCTAATTGAAGTTTTATATACCTTTTCTGCTATTAAAGTGTTGCAGTGATTTTATTTTTAATATTAAAATGAGTTTTAAAATTTGAAAATTTTAATGAAGAAAGAATTTTCTGAGACTTTTTGACATAAAGGAATATAACTTTTGCTGCAAAATTAAGACCATTCCTCATTTCTATTTCCCTCTTCACTCTCCCCAAGTCATCACACCAGTGAAGTCATTGGTGATGTGATATATACTAGTAATTTATCTTTTGAAGTTAACAGAAGAGTCTTATCTGTTAAGTTGATGTAATTTGTTGACTTAGAGTTAGAACTTTTCTCCTGCTGAAACAATTCCTCAAGGTGTTTAATGAATGAATAACTAAATGAATACAAGTGGCAACTCCATCAGAACCCCTAATATAATATAATATTCTGTTCTCACAAGAAGCACTTTGAAAAATAATTAATTTGCCCTAGCTGGTTTGGCTCAGTGGTTGACATTGACCTATGAACCAGGAGGTCACGGTTCATTCCTGATCAGGGCATATGCCCGGGTTGTGGGCTCAATCCCCAGTGTGTGGCATGCAGGAGGCAGTCAGTCAGTGATTCTCTCTCATCATTGATGTTTCTATTTCTCTCTTCCTCTTGTCCTCTCTAAAATTAATAAAAAATACATTTTTTTAAAAAGAAAAATAATTATTTTTTTCCTTGACGTAAAAATAATACCTAGTCATTGCCAAAAATTTGGAAATTACAAAAAGATATAAATAAAAAAATAAAATTACTAGTATGTACCATTCAGAGATGACACATTCCATTTTCTAACAGTTTTACTGAAATAAAATTTATTTATAAAATTTATAAAACTTTAGTTTACCTAAAGTGTACAATTCAGTGGTTTTTATTTATTTACAGAATTGTGCAATCATCACCACAATCAATTTTAGAACATTTTTATCACTCCATGCAGAAACCCCATCACCATTAATAGTCACTCCTCATTTCCCCCATACTCCCAAGCCTAAGCAACTATTAATCCACTTTCTGTCTCTTTAGATTTGCTTCTTCTGGACATTTCATATAAATGGAATCATATAAAATGTGCTTTTATTTGTCACCGTTGTTTTTTCATTTAGTGTAATGTTTTCAAGATTCATCTATGTTGTAGCATGTATCAGTACTTCATTTCTTTTATTATCAAACTAGAGACCAGGTGCACGAAATTCATGCATGGGGGAGGGAAGGGGGTCCTTAGCCCAGCCTGCATCCTCTCGCAATCCAGGACGCTGCATGCACTAGTGACCATACTTTTTATACCAGTGAAAGGCATCATGCTGTTGTATGGGCAGGTACATTTTTTTGCCCTGATTATAAAAAAAAGTACATAACATGATCCTTCTCAGGCAGTAATACCATTTTCCCCATCCTATGGGTGGAAAAACTGAAGCAGAGAGAAGTTAAGTAATTGGCTCTGTCACACAGTTATCAGTGTCAGAATCAGGACTGACCACAAAATGTGCAAGCCAGAGTCCATGCATGTCATCACTGCATCATCCTATTTTTTCAGTGTTAGAGTATCCTTGCCAGTTTTTAATTTTTAAATCTAAGAGATTTTTCCCAATATATAGGGTAGGGTCCCTAGGCCTGGCTCAGGGGGCACCCGTTTTGGCTGGCAGTCTGGTGCCGCCCGCTGGCTAGCCCCACCCCCTGATCGCTGCTGCCTGTTGCCTCCCTCTCTGGGGGCAGATGCATCATAGTGACCAGTCATTTCGCCGGTCATTCCGTTGGTTGGTCGATTTGCATAGTAGGGTTTTATTGTACAGGACTAGAGGCCTGGGGTGTTGAGGGCGGATCGGGGGTGAGGCCAGCTGGAGGGAGGGGCCGTGAGTGGCTGGCCAGGGGGTGGGGCCAGAGGGGCCAATCAGGCCTAGATCAGGCTGGTCGACTGCCACAGTACGTGTCTTAGCCACCAGTCCTTCTGGTCATTCTGCCGTTCCGGTCGCTGGACTTTTATATTTATAGAATA